ATATGCATTTGTTGAAGTATTGATGTATAAATGTTGCTTGAGCTATTACACCTGCTGTTCTGTTTTTTGGCACGTTGTTAATTGTGCACCCATTCCGCCTGTTGCATTTCACACCTGTTATATGCTGAAATATGAGTTGTTAAATACTGTTGTACTTATTTCCTGGGTTTTTATTGTTGTTCTGAAGCTGAAGCACTGTCGTTGCTGCTGTTTTTGGTTTATTTTCCTTACTTTGGTTTGTTCTTGCATGCTCCCTCAATGCCTCCTAGTCCAACTTAATTTTTTTATTAAGCTTGGAGTAGGATAGACGTTAGGAGTCAACCCATGCATGATAACATTAGGTTAGTCTCTTTTTAACCTCAATCATAAGTCCACTTTTGCATGCTAACACTAGGATAGAATTTCCTCTTGCATCCCGACCTTAGGGCCATTTTGCATGACAACGTTAGAACCGAGTTTTCCCCTTAGACCTTCTGTGCGTCTTTCTCTTCCTCCTTCTTAAAACAACATAAAAACACTTAATAAATGCGATGAATATTGTGCGCCACGAGCCTTAAGTATATGAGAAATTATGAGTGAGGGGTCTCTCCTAGCTTCGTCTAGAGTGTTTAGCATACGTCCCGTCTGGGGGCGATCATGCGACGCATTCGCTCCTATATCATAGACTTTGGTGCAATTTGAATCTCAAACCAAATCAATTCACTTCTCTAAAACTCACAAACAAACTCAACTAATTTTCATCTTTCGGGATTGTTTGTCAAATTATTTTCAGAATAAGTACGCTATTTTTTGTTCTACTGCAAATAAGCATCGACCCTAACTGTTGGAATGGGAACCTAACGTCGCTCATAAAAAACACGTATTGACTCGTACGTCAAACTACAACTGTTCTAACTTTCTCATTCTCGTTTGAATGAGGATACATAAGCATAAGACGACGAAGTCTGGGCGAGCAACCTTCTCTTTCACCCATAGTTTCCGAACTACGTTGACTCTAACTTTCCCATTGCACGAGGGACTACGTAGACCTAGGACGACGAAGTCCTATCGAGTCTCCTTTTATTTTTTTCCTTTTTGTTTCCATTTAGCAGTAGGATTTAGATAACACACCCTTTGATTAGATAACAAGCGGGGATCCGGTTGAGTACAACGGACGCGAGGGGGTGCTAATACCTTCCTCCCGCGTAATCGACTCCCGAACCTATGATTTAGTTACGAGGGCATGTCTTCTCCCTTCTTTGAGGTTTTCTCGATCGTTTCCTTTACCCCGTCGACATAAATAACATTCGGTGGCGACTCTTTTATTTTTTCCACCGGGTGTTTTTCGCATTTGCGACACTATGGAAGGCTTTAACACAATGAAACTTGATGAAATGGGTTTGGTGCCAGGTCTTGTTATACCTCCAAAATTTAAAGTACCCGACTTCGAGAAGTACAAAAGGGATAGTTTCCCAAGACACCATTTGGTGATGTTCTGTCAAAAAATGGCTTCCCATACGCATGACGATAAGTTGATGATTCACAGTTTTCAAGATAGTTTGAGTGGGCCATCAGTGGGTTGGTACATGAAGTTGGAAAATAGTCATATTCAATCATGGGAAGACTTAGCGAACACATTTTTGAAGCGGTACAACTACAACTTGGGAAAGCTCCTCTTTCAAATCAGCGAGCCCAAGGCTGAGGATATCATAATCAACATCAGAGCCAACATATGCTTCGCAACAACTTGGAAAGAAGGAATGCTCCTCTTGATCCAATTCCAATGTCATACAATCAACTTCTGTAGCCTTTGATTCAAAGCTCATTGGTGGTCCCCAATTCTCTGAAGCTTGTTCCAAAGCCATACTCGTCTAGGTACGTTCCCTATGTGCAATGTAGGTATCATGGCAAACCGATAGGACACTTAACAGAAGACTACAATGCTTTTCAAACCAGGGTACAACAATTGATCGACAAGAAGTACATAACCTTTTCAGAAGGAAATCTGTTGGTGAACGCCAACCTCTCGCCCTGATAAGTGCGAATACCTCAAGGGGCATCGCCTGAAGACAGTGGATCAGGCATGAAGTCATTCTCAATGCTAGCAGTCAGGGAGCATTTTTATTATTTTCATTTGTATTTTGTTTGACTATTAAATGCTACTTGTTTTTAAACATTGTTGTTCCTTTAATGGTAATATTAATGAAGTGATCATGCATTTTTCGAATCAATCCATTCGTATTCACTCTTGCTATTTTTCCTTCATTCACGCAAAACAAAAAAAAAATTCTTCCATTCATTTGCCTTTATCAAACTGTTGTTTTTAGCAAATATTGGAAGGAGGATGATGAAAACCAAATACCTATAATTTTTGTTGGTATGCTTTTAGTTAAAATTTTACCGATGATGTAAGACATTGTTTCAAATCCCCAAACACTGAATATATAAGGATTTAGTCCCTAGTTAACCACTTTGAGCCTAGAAGTTGGTGTTTCTTTCAGATTGCAAGAGAAAAACATCCCACATGAGAAGATCAACTATATGTATCCTTCGCACACACCACAAAGTGTCAAAGAAGTTGAGAAGATCCAAAAAGTTTATATTAGTTGTTCCTCAATAACCAATAAAATAGCAGGTACAACCTTTTGGCAATATCGAAAAAATGAAAAATGAAAAAGCTCTCTAAGTCGAATACCATAAAAACGACTTAGGAAAAAATTAGGGCATGTCGGTGGACCAAACACTTTAAAGAAGTGATTTAGGCAAAGCTAGGGATAAAAAATGGTCATCAAAATCCTCGAAAAAAATAAAATAAGATGACTGCCATTTCAAGAAAATCTCTTGGAAGTAGAATGCGTATGTCAATTAACTGAACGTAGGAATGGAGTACATTAAGAAGAACGAGTGGGTTAAAATTAAATTTTGAGCCTCATATTTTTGTGTTAAAAAAAAATCGTGAACCAGGCCACGTTACAACTCTTAAAAGACCTAATTGAGGCATGTTTTATTCTGAAAGCATGCTACAACAAGGTTGTGTTAACATGACTCAAAACGATCTTTACTAATTGTTTTTATTGATCACACCACCTTGCACACTATGAATGGCTAGATCAATTTTGTGTTTTAATCATTGAGTTGTTCACCTTGTATGATATCAATAAATTTTGATTTCAAAATTTGTATTTGTACTGCATTATAATTATCATTTTTGAATGAACTATTTTAATTGCAAGTTAGCATTTAACATCAAAGGAACCCCAAGAATGTGCAATCGTTTGAGGAGCTTGATCATGTGAATGAAGTCCATTTAGGGGCAGATCACTTTGAGCAATAGTCAATCTGAACCACCACAAAGAGCTCGGTGAGTCCAACTCTTTAAGGGTCTGTCAATTAGAAATTTCCCAATTCAAAAGTTGGCCAATCAAGGGGCAGAACACTACAAAATTAGAACACTTGGCCAAGCTACCTCAAAGTTAGAGTAAGTCGCTTCCCAAGGAAATAACTTCAAAAACTCTAGGTTTAGGTTCAAAGCACTGATTGATAAGAAAAAATGAACATCCTATAATCAAGAAAAGGAAAACTAAAAAAAACCTTTACGTAATCAAGTGATGCCCTATATGCCGATGGATTTCCAAAGTTCTTCTAACTTGTTGCGCAAGGAAACGTCAGTTAAAGGGATGGAACCTTTAGACAAAACAACTCTTCCATGGAGGTTATGCTTGCAATCTTCAACCCACTAGCTTATATACATCTCCAGATATTGAGATGGCTGAACGATCACCTCTCGCACACGAAATTGGCAGTTGACTTAGAGGTATGTTACACACATTATTCACCACTTCTCTGAAAGACTCAACCACCTAGATAGGATTTGGAGATTTAGAGGTGGATATCGGTGGAAAGGGAGGAGATGGATGAAGCGATTTCGGGAAAAGGAACGATTCCATTGATGAGAAGGATGAGAAATAATGTTAGGTCAACAATATCAAAGTTTTCTTCATAGCTCATTTCTTCAAGATTTCTTCCCAATGGCCTTAAGTAACACAATATCATACCAAAAATCGAAATCAAATCCACAATAAGTCAAAAGCAGATAAAAGACAAGAAACACAAAAACATGTTTACCATGATCTATTATTGGGAGAGAACAAATCTCCAATTCACTATACTTCCAAAAATTATTACAAAAAATTACAAATAAATTACAAGAAAATAGTCATCCAAATTTCCAAGAATAAACCTTATCTTCTATGCAAATGTATGTTTCCCTATCTCTCAAACTCTCAATATGAATCACATAATCCCAAAGTGTTTAGAAGTATTTCTCAGTTTCCTTAAATACCTTCAAAGATTGGATAAATTCTAAGAACTTTAAGGAATTTTAATTCTTGTCTCTCTAATTTATATAGGATTCCAAACCATTCTCTTTGTTTTTAGTTGTAAAGTTCTCAAGGTTGCAAAGACAAGCATTATAGAGATACATATTTATAACTAATGAAATCTAACTAGTCCAAAACTCAATCCATCAATTTTAGAATAAAAAAATTATAAATTTATTATAACATATTTTATATTAATTTAAATTTTCTTAAAATATATTTTTATATCTGAAAATATCTCTAAATATCATAGAATAAATTAATATAAAAAATGTTTATAATATTTAAACCCAAATTCGCAAATCCAACCAAATAAATCTAATACCCTTATAAATCCAACCGAATAAATCTAATACTATGAACTGTCAGGACTGAATCCGTTGCCTTTAAAACAGGCCAGCTGTAACGTCATCCATCAACATATTTTAAGGTATACTTTAACCTTATAATCTTGGTGGAGCAGTTGATATGCTTACGTTCAATACCATTCCCCTCCCCTCATTCTAAATGGTCCTATTCCTATACATGCAACATTTTCCTAACAAGGTTTGTGTAGTAGTTAACAACTTAAGCTTAAAGCATTCCCTTTTATTATTTTTTACAAAACCAAACAATAGCAACAAACAAAAAACCTTATAATAATCATTTTTGTCTATTCTTACAAGGACCATAAGATTTACTACAATAAACAAAATACACAAAATTTAAAATGCTTAAAGCACAAATAAAACTATAATAGTAGTCATAGTGACCCTTATTTATGTTACTTGAAACCCAACTTTCATTCCCTCCACTTCCACTAACACTCTCAACAATACTCAAAATAAAACTTGCAACCAAATTTGCAACAGAAATTCCAAGTCCACCAAGAGTTGAAGCTACACTAGACATAGATTCAGGCAACTCATTCAGAAAAAACTCACTTTGTCCTACTACACCACACGCCTCGGCCAATCCATCGATGATTTGGCGCGGCAATAGCCACATTGCAGACATATTCACCACGGCTTCCGGTTGTTCTGAATAGCCTTGGTTGATCGCCATTCTGCGTCGAATATTCTCTACAATAGCAAGTGATGCAATTGATATGCAACAAGAAAATAGACTAACTCCCAGTTTTTGTTTTGCGCCTAAGCATGTCGCGCGTCCTCGTATCTTCAATGACAAAGGGACTAAAAGTCGGTCGTAGAGTATAACCCAAAGTATTAAAGATAAAATCATAAATGTACCGAAGGAGGCGGGAGGGATTTTGAAATTTGAACCAATTTGGCAGTTCATGGAGGTAGCTTCTAGTACAAGAAACGAACTTTGACTCACATTTACTGTCATCATGATTCCTGTTGTCCAAATTGGTACTATCTTAACAAGTGCCTTGAAATCTTCAACTTGATCAATTGTGCAAAGATTCCATGGTTTTAAAGCGCTTCCGTTCGGTGTTAGATCTTCTAAGGGATTTCTCATTATGCATGCTTTGTTGAGAAACCTGTTCAATAAGTTACTGCTTTAGCTTCTTCTCTTGATTATATCCAAAACATTATCATAAATGAGACCATGAAACAATTTTCACCTTAATTTCTTAGTTGGTACGAGGAGATTCGAGTCCTTGTCATGATGGTAGATACTACCATTCACATTCACATCCTCTTGTGGTAACTGCAAAAGTCTGTTTCTGTAAGAAGCTACAACAACCTGTGCTAAACTACTTAGAATGTTCCTCTTAGCCTCAACCATTACATAAAATGGAGTAGCTAAGAAAAATGATAATGTAGCTATAAACATTAAGATAACAGGAACACCGAATCCTACTGTCCATCCCATGTTATCTTGAAGATAGACAACAGCACTTAATCCTAAGAGCGACGACACTCCCGCGGAAGCATAGTACCAGCTTAAGTAGCCCTCTTTGATGCCTGCATTTTTGCCGCGTTTGCTTAATTGATCAAGACCAAAGGCCAAAGAGGATGATCTTATGCCGCCAGCTCCAATGGACATGAGAGCAAAAGAAGAATGCAACATCAACATAGGTCTTGATAGTGGGATGATAGTTGTTAACCATAGAAGAATCATTCCCTGCATAACTCGAACAAGGACAAGGGAGCGCCGAAAATAAAAATATAATATGATATCAGAGTCTATCTATCTATCGGATAGGACTATACAAGAAGTTAAAAGAAAGAAAGAAAAATACCAGAAGGCTAGAAAGAGAACCAAAAGCAATCATCGAATATCGACCGAAATAGGAGTCAGCAAGAAAAGCAGCAATGAGGGGAGTGAAATTGGTGGCAGCAGACCATAGCAAGATGAAATTAGTAGCTTCAGCAGTGTGCATGTTATACTCTTTAGTCAAGTATATGATCATATTCGGCATTAATCCAATACTTGCAACTTTCTCACATGCCTCATTAGCTGCAAAACCAACAATTATTAACAATCATTAGTGAAGGTGTTAATTAATGATACAATTAGTGAAGACATGAAAATCATTACCTATGATAAAAGGTAAGGTTCTAAAACCACCTTTGTTGTTGTTGACAACAATGCCATTGGAGTTCTGCTCCTGGTTTAGAAGAGGCTCTTCTTCTTCTATCACTTTCTCCATTAGTGTTTTTTTTGGTTTGTAAAAGATGATGAAACATAAAAGCAACAACATGAGAAGGTGGTGGGGTCTGTTCAGCAAATTCGTGACATTTTTACTATCGTGGACCAATTACAATAAAATTGGATCAATTCTTTTTATACCAATTTGTAGCTTGTGTGAAATAAAGAACTAGAATAATTTTATTGGAGTTGATGATTTGATACTAATAGTAGATACGTGGGATGCACTAGGAAATCAAAGTATACATATTTTTTTTATTTCTTTTCTAGAAACAGTTCTATAGATTTTTTTTTAAGTAGTTTATTGGACAAAATTTTACGAATGAGTGAAATGTGGTGAATTCGAATTTGCATCACTACAATTAAATGGTCATACATAATTATCAATTGAGTTGACTTAACCAGACTTTTAGAAAAATATTTTAATAGACTGTAACATACATATTATTATTATTGTAATTAATATAAATAAGAATGTAATTAGGGAATGATGTTGTAACTAGTCCCTTTTCTTCAACAGTTCTTCTTATGAAAAAGAAAGAAGATAATTGGAGGTTTTGTGCGGATTATAGGCCTTAAATGTTGTGACCATAAAGGATAGTTTTCCTATGCCAACTATTGATGAACTATTAGATGAGTTATTTGGCGCAATTTTTTTTTTCAAAACTGGACTTAAGGTGAGGCTATCATCAGATTTTGGTGCAACTAGAAGATAGGCATAAAACAACTTTTAGAACACATCATGGACACTATGAATGGTTAGTCATGCCCCTTTGGATTAACCAATTCCCCAACAACATTTCAGATTTTGATGAATCAAATTTTTCATGATGCTTTGAGAAAATAAGTTCTGGTTTTTATTTTTTAATTTTTTAATTTTTTAATTTTTTAATTTTTTAATGATATCCTCACCTATAGCTCTACTTGGCACGAACACATAATACATTTAGAAAATTTGTTAAGAGTTATTCAACAAAATGTACTATTTGTGAAGTTGTCAAAGTGTTCATTTGGAGTTTTGGAATCTATGGATAGTTGTGAGATTTAAACAACCCTTCAGTTGCTGTTGTTTCATGATTTTAAAAATTAATCACAGAAAAAATTATCGGATCGAGTCGCAGACTAAGTCGCGCTTTTTAAGACGTTTTGCGGACGCTTCGACAATTTAAAAGACGCAGAGTTATGAGAGCGAGGAAGGAAAAAACTCAAAATTAATTTTTTGGTGTGTTTTAGAATGAAACAAAGAATTTTCTTATATAATGAAGTGTGAAAGGAAATAAATCTCATCTAAGTAATGTGGAACTAAAGAGTTTTTTCAACTAACACACAATGTAGAACTTGACATAAAAACTTTTTCAAATTCATCTCCCTATATTTGAATATTGACATAATGTTCCAACAATCCTCCACTTGAATTTAAAAAAGTGTTTCAGAAGTAATGTTAAACGTTTATAAGATTATGCATAAACAAAGGTGTCTACGACTTGAACCTCTGCGTAGCAGGTATGATTCCTATTCAACAAGAATGACACCATTGTATTGAACTCTATCTCAGACATCAAACTTGCACACAACCTTTTTTAAGGTGTATTCTAATAGTTCGTGCTTTAATGGTCCTGCACGTGTATCCCGGTTTAGTGAAGGCTCTAGGAATTCTACCTCAAAATTTCATAGGAACCGGCCTAAGTTCCATGATCACATAGGTGAGTCTATCAAGAGTACTCTAGTAGCCTAGGTACTCCCTCATACAGAATATAGATCTCATTAAGAGTTTTTATCATCTCATCTTCTTATCGCTTAAGAATTCATGCTTCTCTTATTTACTCTAGCATGATCACTTCATATTACTCACAACTTATTATTAACCATTGAACCTATTTCTTGGGATCTTCAGTCATCTAGGTCGGGTTACCATCATGAGTAACTCATTTTTTTATAGACATTAGTCTCATCTTATTCGATGTATGATAGACTTCCTTTCATTTCGTCAAAGGATTTGCTAAAAAATTTATTAGTGTGTATACGATCCACTCTTACAACTCCTTTAAAGATACAGTCTCTAACAGTGTTGTGTTTCCTCGTTATTTGATGTCACTTACCGTTACTAACGGTTCTCAATTTTTGCAATAGTCGCGATACTATCGCAGTGGATCAACACAATGGGCATGGTTTATCCCACAAAGGGATCTCTGCTAGCAAGCATCTTAACCAACTTGCTTATTCACTAGCTTTGGCTAGTGCTATCATCTCAAACTCCATTATGGACTGAGCCAGGATAATCTGTTTCTTTGATTTCCAAGATATAACTCATCTACCTATACTAAATATATAACCACTAGTAGCTTTAAAATCATCTGATAAGGTGTTCCAATCTACATCACTGTACCCTTCTAGTACAACAGGAATTTTTTTATAATGTAGGCTGAGATCCATGCTCTTTTTAAGGTACCTCATGACTCGCACAATAACTTTTTAGTGCTCATTACTCGGTCTACTCGTAAACCTGCAAAATAATACTACGATATATGCAACATCGGGTCTAGTATAATCAGTGGCATAACTAAGATTGACAATGATGCTCGCATATTTTATTTGTCTGACACTTTCACCAGTGTTCTTAAATAGTTTTATATTTGGATCATATGGTGTGCACGCAGGTTTACAGTCAAAGTAATTATATTTCTTTAATATATTCTCTACATATTGTGATTGATCCAAAGAAATTCCTTGCTTGAATCTCATGATCTTGATACCAAGAATCACGCCCGCTTCTCCGAGGTCTTTCATATCAAATTTGTTGCACGACAATGATTTCTCATCATTAACAACATGAATGTTTGACTCAAGTATGAGTAGATTGTCTTCATAGAACATTTGATAATGCAAATGCGATTCTCAAATTTGTAATAAACGTATTTGTCACTTTCATTTACTTTGTACTTATTCGATATCATTAACTTATCAAACATTTCATGTTATTGCTTTGTATCTTATTTTAGACCATGCAGCGACTTATCTAACTTACAAACCTTGTTTTCTTGTCCATGAATCACAAACCCTTTCAGTTGATCTATATAGATTTCTTCTTCTAAGTCACCATTTTAAAAATTTGTCTTTTACATCCATTTAATGTACTATTAAGTTATAAATAGCAACAATTGATATTAGTACTCTGATGGATGTAATTCTAATGACTAGAGAAAAAACATCGAAGAAATCTATATTTTCTCTTTTCTAAAACCCTTGGCTACAAGGCGAGCCTTGTACTTATCAACAATTTCATCATATTTTAGTTTCTTTTTTAAAATACATTTACAACCAATTGGTTTGCAACTAGGAGGCAGGTCTACTAAGTGTCAGGTCCTGTTAGATTCTAGAGAATCTATCTCATCGTTCTTGTCATAAACCTGCATCCAGAGATGACAAGGCTTCTTGAAGATTTGTTGGATCTTCCTTACTGTATAGGTCGTATAACCGGACCCATAATCTTTTACAACTCTTACTCATTAACTTCATCAAAGTTCTTTTTCTACTTCATTGTTGCTTTCAGTACTTCTTATCATAGAAATGTGATTCAATTTAGTGCCCCCACTATTTCTCGATTTGAAAGGAATTTCGTCTTCATGGAATTCAACATCATTAGATTTTATGATCACTTTAGCATTTAGGTCATAACACCTATATGCTTTACTGTTTGTTGCATACCTGATGAATTCACATTCATAGGCTCTACTAGTGAGTTTGACTCTCTTTGAATCTGAAATTCTGACATAAGCCAGACGGCCCCAAGTTCTTAAATAAGACTAGTTTGGTTGTTTTTTCTTTAATATCTCATAAGGTGAGATCTTAATTTTTGACCTGGGAACTCTTATCAGGACATAGCAAACAGTCAATAAAATTCCCCCTACCAGTGAGGTGCAACACCAGAATTCATCATAATTGCAACAAGTTCAATAAGAGTTCTATTCTTTCTTTCTGCTTAACCATTCATTTTAGGTGAATATGGAGCACTCATTTCATGTACAATTTCATGTTTAATATAAAATCATTAAATAAGCTGAAATAATATCTAGTTCCTCAATCACTATGAAATATCTTAATCTTGTTACTAAATTGAATTTCAATTTTATTAACAAAAGTCTTAAACATAGTAATTTCACAAATATATGATTTTTGGTGATTGTTTACAAATCTACCCCAATAGACTGACTAAACCCTGCCTTATTTAAAAGAAAACCAGAAACGAGATTCTTTATAATCTCTGAAGTATACATGACATCCTTCAAGATTAAAGTCTTTTCAGAGGTGGACACTATTCTACTTCTCCAATACCGACAACATTAGTGGTGTCGACAACTCCCAACAATACTTTCTTATTCGTGAATGTTTTAAACATTGCACAATCATAACAAATATGACGAAAAGAGCCAATATCCATCCATCAACCATGAGATTCACCAATTAGGTTAACCTATGCATTAGGGGAAATACAAGGTTTAAACTCGATCTTTCATTTCCTAATTATATGACCTGGTTTTCTAGTGTCATTTCTTTATGGTGGTGATTGTTGCCTATCAATTGGAGTAATTATAGCCCTTTAAGGGTTCTCATTCTTAATTTGGTTCACAACATTGCGGTTCTGATTCTTTAATTATTTTCCAAATGACTTCAGAACTACACCGAATTTCTTTTTCTTGTTTGAAACAACCAAGGCTTTTCTTTTTTATCTTCTCTCCGAAATTCTTCTTCAACTCAAAAGTGAATAATCAGACTCTCAATTAAAAATTCTTTTGTTTTATGGTGAAGCATAATTTTTAATAACTTTCAAACTAGGGGAAATTTATCAATAATAAAAGCAATTTGGAATTGTTCATCTAAACACATACCTTATGTGATGATCTTATAAGCAAACTTTTGAAGTTCATAACATTGAGCCTCAACACACCTTTGATTTATGTCTTCTGATACTTTAGGTAGCGGCTAACTATATACTTCTTTGTT